AAATGATCCGCCATTTATTGAATTCATTTGTTAAAAAAAAATGTGACAAATGAAGAACCGCTCGACCGATTTTGTGCAAACTTCACATAAACCATCTACTAAATAGTCCGAACAAAGCCTAAACATTTGGTTTGGATAAGTGAGCCTTTTCTTGAGTTATAAAATTACAACGAAAAAAGGCATTAATTTTTATATATATATAGATAAATGTGCCAAATTCCATTCACGCAATCCTAATCCTCTAATCCTCCGTTCACGCAATTTTTGTAAAAAGGCATGCAAAGTTTTTGTTTCACGTATTTATTATATTTAAGGTATTTAACTGTATAATGCAATAAATATGAATCCTAAATGTAGGGAATGTATTAAATATACAGTGAGTGTAGAAAGTATTCGTACACCTAGGGTTGTAATAAAAAAAATACGAATTTGATAGACTTTCTTTTATTTATCTAATTTAAATCAATACTATTAAATATTTTAACATTCCCGCACTTTGTTTATGATAATTTTTTATTTTTAATAAAAAAAATTATACAACATAAAAATATTTTTACGTTAACTAAGCAAATAATGACAAACAAAAAGTATTCGTACACTTATAAAATTTGTAAGTAAATGAATATTAAAAAAATATTAATACTTTGTTGGACCACCGTTAGCATTGATGATAGATTGGAGTCTCTGCGGCATCGAATCAACTAGTTTGAAAATATAAGAAGACGGTATCAATGCCCATTCTTCGCGAAGCGCAATTTTTAGTGTTTCTTTACTCGAAATTGGTCGATTTCGAATTTTATTATCGAGATAATCCCACACATGCTCTATAATATTAATATCAGGTGATTGAGGAGGAATCTCTAGGTATTTTGGAGCGTTAAACAGGATCCATGCTTTAGTATTCCATGCTTTATGTTTAGGGTCATTATCTTGTAAAAATATCCAATTATTGTTAAAACCCATTTGAGCTGCACTAGAGAGACGATTCTCTTTTAAAATATTAATATACGCTTTGTGATCCCTAATTCCATCAATAAATGCAAGTTTTCCCACCCCAAAAACACTCATGCAACCCCATACAAATACTGACCCACCATGTTTTATAGGTTTTCTCCATACCATATGATGTCCATCCGATTTGAAAATATTATATTTCGATTCATCTGAGTAAATAACAGTTTGCCAAAAATGATTTTTTTCATTAATATATTTTTTTGCGAATTCTAATCTTTTTTTCTATTAATATCATTTACCCAATACTTTTTACGCGCAGTTCTTCCATGATAATCGTTACTACGTAATACGTTCCGAACGGTACTGACAGAAATATGGCAATCATTGATATTATTAATTTCTTGTTCGAGGGGCACTAATTTTAGGATTTTTTTTTACACAATTTAAAATTTTCCGATCCAATCGAGGCGTGATTTTTGATGGACGCCCCACCTCTGGGTTTGTTTTTTAGTGTTTTAGTAATAGAAAACCGATCAATTACAGTCTGTACGGTTGAACGTGGTCTATTGACAAATTTTGCAATTTCACATAATGATTTGCATTGATTATGCAAATTAATAATTATTTTTCTCTCCTCTTCACTCGTTTCTTTTGCTTTACGGCCCATTTTTGTAACTAAACACGTCTATACTTGTCACGAGTACTACGTCTAATATCTATACCTACGTATTAAAAATATATTGTAGGCATATGAAAAATTCGATTGAATAAATGATTTATACAGAATTTCATTTAAAAAAGAATGAATGTACGAATACTTTTTGTTTGTCATTATTTGCTTAGTTAACATAAAAATATTTTTATGTTGTATAATTTTTTTTTTAAAAACAAAAATTATCATAAACAAAGTGCGGGAATGTTAAACTATTTAACAGTATTGATTTAAATTAAATAAATAGAGGACAGTCTATCAAATTCGTATTTTTTTTATTATAACCCTAGGTGTACGAATACTTTTTACACTCACTGTATATATATATATATATATATATATATATATATATATATATATATATATACATTCATATAATGTTTGCATGCATCTTATTTTTTGCACATAAAATATTCTTAATATGTATTTAAATCTAAGAATTTAATATACACACATTTGTAAATAAGCTCTTTAAATAACAGCCGTCATAAATGCCATAAAATTAAAATTCCTTACACATTAAATGCTAACGGTGTATTATTAAATTAATTAATTAATTATAAAAACTAGTATAACGTTGCTACTAATAATAAACATATTTTAATAAAATTAACAAGTAAATTACGTTCTTTAAAAACAGCTACTTGGATAGCGACTATATTAATTAATTATTTTTGTCACCATCCATATGGCTGTTTTAAATTAATTATTTATAATTAATTATTAAATGAGAGAAAACGAGAGTAAACGTTATTGATTGCGATATTTTTATGCAACTTAGAATGGCAAACAAGCTGACGGCCCACCTGATGGAAAGTGGTAACCGTCGCCTATAGACGTGAGCAGTACCATGGACATAACAGAGTATACTGTTTCGCCCGTAATACCCCCCATGCGTTGCCATTCCTGAAGGACTCAGGTGTTATTCCTCTGTACCCTGTAAATTCACTGTCATATCCCAACCTTCAAAACGAAACACAGCCATACAAGCACAACTGCTTCACGGTAAAAACACGAATGGGACAGAGGTGTCCAAGCAAACGACTTTTGTACAAAGTCTCCCTCTGGTGGAATAAAATATATTTGGAACTTGATTTCTGAATTGTGAAGATTTTGCGTAATCTAGAAACAAACAAAAATATTGACAACCTGAATTACTTTCTCTTTGAAAGTTAATATTATTTTGTAAAAAAAAAAAAATTGTTATTGTATTTCCTTTTACATACATTTATTATTTATAAAATTTATTAATTCTTATAATTAGTGACTATTATCATACAGACCAACAATTTATTTATAAATATATATTTATTAAAATATCAAAAGTGTTACGCTTTCAGATTTTCGTATAAAACAAAAAAATTACGTGTAAGCCATATTAAATTTACTGACACTTGGACTACTTATGATTACATCCGACAGGGAGTTCATCCTTCGACAGGGAGTTCATCCTCGTGTTCTACAACCTCAATGGTCGCGTACTGCGCGGTTTCAGAGATGTTTCCTCCCACGAACACTCAGGTTATGGAATGAGCTCCCTACCGAGGTTTTCCCAAGAGACTACAGCATGGGGTTCTTCAAAAGGGGGGTAAAGAGGTTTCTTCAGGATCAGCAACGCGCGCGTAATACCTCTGGTATTGCAGGTGTTCATAGGCTACGGTAATCACTTACCATCAGGTGGGCCGTATGCTTGTTTGCCACCACAGTGGTATTAAAAAAAAAAGATTAAAATGTAATGGCAGAGTCAGAAAGTCTTCGAAAGGTTTACATATATTATCTTTCGTCTTACTGTTACTTATCATCAGTTAAGTTTAAGCACGAATCCACGGCTAGTTAAAAAAATATTTTTTATAAACTATAAATTAACTGTACCTACAGTACGTACAAACAATATTTGTTTTACATTTATACAACGAGCCTTGGAAATGTATTTATTAACAAAGTTTATCACCAGGATAATAAAACTTTTTACTCAATTTACTGAAGATTTATTTCATTAAATACACTCAAGATAATAGTGTTGTTTTACAGTACTGTTTATATAGACGTTATAACTGATTGTCATTAAATTAAAAAAGTTTTATAATTTGCAGTTAATTGTTAATATTTTATCAAAATTGGTTCAATAGTTTAGTATTCAGATCAAAATAACTACTCATTAATTTTTTACTTTTATTTTTTAGGGAAAACATTTAGTTTCACTAATAAGATACTCCCTTTAAAGGAAATAAGTGATTTCCATGTCTCTCTTTAATTTAAACACTTTTTATATCAAAATGTCATGCAGTATTAACATATGTCATACAACAATGTGCCCACAGCAGCGATGTTTCAATCAGACTCGCACTCAATACAGATCACGTACTAGTCGCAAACTAGTCACGCAAGATAAACATCTAGGCGCCTAAACAAATACTAAAACGGCGTCCCTAATTTATAGGGACCCGTGAATGGCGGCGCGCCGAGCGGCGGCAGAGACCCGATCTCGCAATACGTATAAACACGTTTTTTGTTTCGCATGTCCGCGCACTGTCAAATATATTACGACCCGTGGCGTTATTTACGACCTCTGTCGTCCGCCCATACGTTATACTTAGTATCTTTGTTTGGACACAATAAGCAATATTTCTAAAGGGCCCGCCGTCGCTCGCAGCTGTTGATATGGGTTCCCAAATTGACATATTTAATTTGATCGCCACGGAGGGTCCGTTTGAACGAGGTCGTGTTTGACAGGTTTTAGTGTCGGATTAACATTAACGCTATGGACTTAACGTTGTCAATAAACGTGAAATATCGCCTTTTGTGACGCATGTTTACGGCACGGATAGCTTTACGAGTTTCCTAGTAAAGCGATCGCGTACTAAAAGCACGGTGCGTTGACACATCAAACGGTTTCACAGAATGTGGAACAGATCAATTTTCCCCTTTGAACTCGACCCGGTGCATTCGTGAACAAAGCGCTCGTAAAAGAGTAAGCAGTTTCGTATGTGTCAGATGTAAAGTGCGCGATGACGCCAGCAAAAGAAAGAAGCTGCCGGTGTCCGGGGCGTAATAAGTGTGGTGTGGAACAAAAAGCGTTGGAGTAGTGCGGGCGGTATAAGCAGGTAGACACAGAGTCACGCTCGCGGCAGCGGCGGCAGTTCAAAGCGCTGCCCGTCATGGGTGGCGAGCGACCAACACCATAGCACGTCTCAATCCGCACCCGGCTGCCGGCCATACCGCCTTTCCTTTTTCCCCTACCGCAATGCAGCTATGTGTCGTTTCCGCTTTATTTTTTTATACCCGAGCGCTGCAGCGGAGAGATATAGCGAGCCTGTTTTAACAAAGTCTCAAGATATCGCCGTCTCTATCGCACGGCTAGAGGGGCGCGGAGTGAGAGGCACGTCGGGCCGCGGTGGGGTCCCGTCTCTCAGAGTCGTCTCGGTCGCAGCCACGAACACACCCGTTCGTATTCAGTTCTACGGATCCGTGACATAGAGTAGTTGTGTTGCTAGAGGCGTTTCGTGACAGCACTGTGAAGTTTATAAGTGATCGTAAAAGTTCTCTCCAAATGGTGGTGCTTGAAGACGGAGGAATGATGACTTCTAATCCTAATCAATATTTACAACCTGATTATTTGAATCCTCTTCCATCCTCTGTAAGTTTAAAATAATATTTTTAATTAATTTTTTTTTCAATATTTTTATTTTCTAAAATATTAAATTAAACATCCAAAATTTTTGTTTATCTGTCTGACATTCTTTTACAGATCAGCATTAGAAAACTATTTTTTTTTTTATTTATTTTTGTGTATAGAGACAATGAATTTATTAACAACTTTACAGTTTAACTTTATGTATGAAATATTTTAACTTTGAAATTAAGATTATAACTTAGTGTATAAGATAAATAACGTAGATAAAACATAATCCTAATTTATTTTTATTTTTGTTACAGTTGGATTCGAAGAAAAGCCCGCTTGCGCTTTTAGCGCAAACATGCAGCCAAATCGGCGCGGATACTCTGCCGACAAAGCCGCTGCTGCCTCCACTGGATAAAAAGAAAGTGAACAGTGTTAATAGTGAATCAGTTAGTCGTTCTTCACCAAATAATAATGTAAACAAAGATAAACCCCGTTCAACTCCAGATAACAAACACTTAGCGTTCAAACCTTATGAAACAAATGTTGTTTCAAAGAAACCCGAGGAAACACGACCTTCTTCAAAAGCAAGTACAGATAGCTCGGATGAAAAGAAATCTGGCAAAAGCACACCTGGAAGGAAATCTACACCGCCAACTACGGAAAACGGGAAAAATAGCCCGTCAAATGAAACAAAGTCGTCACCGACTGCATCTTCTGGGACCAGTCCTATTATTCGCTCAGGATTAGAAGTTTTAGGACACGGAAAGGACCATCTTGGTGCATTTAAAAATTTACCCGGGCTGCCTGGTTTTAATCCTCTTACCGGACTTTGCTGTCCTCCTGGAATGGAACAGCATGGAAATCCTGCGTTTAGACCTCCATACGCGGGTGCTTCATTCAGTGCTCACCATGCAGCGATGCTGGCTGCGGCTGCCGCATTTCCTGGATCCTCTCCTAACCCTTATCTAGGTTATGCTAGAGTTAAAACACCTGCCGGAGGAGAAACACTAGTCCCAGTATGCAAAGATCCTTATTGTACGGGATGCCAGTTCTCCGTCAACAACCATCACCTGTTAATGAACAATGGATCGTGCCCCGCTGGTTGCACTCAGTGTGAACATCAAAAGTACAATTTGGCAATGGCCATGGCCCTTTCACAGCAAGGGGCCGCTGCCGGCGGTCTGCCATATCCACAACTTAGTCGCCCTTACGTTTGTAATTGGATTGTCGGCGAATCGTATTGTGGTAAAAGGTTTGGAAATTCCGAAGAATTGCTACAACATTTGAGAAGTCACACAACAGACGGTTCGACGCCAGCGTCGGTTCAATCGACACAACCGTCATTACTGAATCCTCTTAACCCGCTTTTCACAACAGCGGGTCTCCGGAGCGCATATCCGACGGCACCTCTCAGCCCGTTGTCTGCGAGCCGGTACCATCCTTATTCAAAGGCTGGTCTCCCAGCGAGTCTTGGTGCTTCTCCTTATGGTGCCTTTAATCCAGCTCTTGGACCTTTTTACTCTCCATATGCGATGTACGGACAGAGGCTTGGAGCGGCCGCTGTCCACCAATAAATATATATCGGGAGTGCAGTGAAACCTGGACGTTTGGACTGATCATAATTTAATGTTGTATTGTCCAATTTTCTTCTGTGATATCGATAGACTCTAATTGATGTTCGGAGGCGTGATGCGCCATGACAAATTTAGTGATTAGTGAAATTTAACATAGTACCTTCTTATGTGAGTGTACTTGCCGTCGAAGTTGCTTCTACGCGAGCTGTATAAACACTGAAGACTCTGTACAGCCAAATGATTTGTGTAAATAATAATCTCTATGTTTAATAATAAATGAATATTTCAAATATAATATCTACATACCAAAGTTTCATTTCATTTATCGCGTCCGTAAAGCACCCCTAATTGACACTCGTGAAAGATGGCAAACATCTGTAGCGAGTTACGAGTTGCGATTCATCTCGCTCATAATTGATAAGCAACGTTAATGGTAGTTTCATGTAAAGCAACTTGAAAAACAACTAGAATGATTTAATGCTAACAATAAACCAACAGCCGAGAGCTGCTATAAAAACGCATACATTAGAAAGTGTAAATAAACAGTGAGGGAGCAAGTAGGAGAAATAAATTTATCAAAGTCTAAAAAGTGCCGCTTTCTCACTGAGCAGTAATAAACTGCTCAGGATGATTGATTAACGCATCTAAAGCGCATTAGAGCCGTCGATCAACAGAAAATTGTGTAGATATAAAACAAGAGATCCAAAGCCACCCACCGGTTTAATGAAACGACCAACAAAATTTATTTCATTGAAGACTACAAAAAGAATGTACACGACGGCCGACGTTGAGCGTCATTAATAACAAAGCCATGAGCTGTCAGCTTTGTTAATGTCGAGTTTTTTTTTTTTAATAAATGCTATTTTGATTAGGCCCATGTCATGTCGAAAATTCAACTGTCAAAAACATAATTGGTCGCACGAAAAGACTGCGAGACAGGTGGCAGAGTAATGAGCGACAGAGCCGTCAGAATACTGTTTTATTTTCACGGTGACGAGCGACGGCACCGTGAACTTATGAACACTTTTTTTTTGTTGTTTTATTTTAGTTTTTATGTTTTATATTAATGGCGTTGTGTGATTTAACTTTTTGGAAATTTAAAAATTCCAGGATTCTTAAAAAAATTAACTATATAATAATTATTAATAAAAATTAAACAAATATTTATTTTATTTCTTCATAATTATAATTTATTATTACTAAATTTCAAAATTGATTATTATTATTATTCTAATTCCAATTATTAAAAAACTATGCGACTTTCATGTATGTGCCATTTAGAATAATTGCTCAGTTCTAGACAGTCACAAATTGCATTTTAAACAGAATGAAACGGCAAAAGTTTTTATCGGTATTGCATTTTTTATAAAGCAATTTAAATAAATTTAAATATATTTCAGAGATATAAATAGTTTTAGTCCTGCTAACGATCAATTGGATGTTTTAAAATTTACATTAATAACAAATAACACGACGGATGTCTACTTTCTTACACTGTAATCGATTTTATTGCGACGTCGTTCAATTTAAATATTTAATTTTGATAATAATAAATATTTATGACTCACTAATAAATTAGTAGTCAATAATTTTAATAGTTTCTTTAATAATATATCAACTTAATTATGATAGATAGTATTCATATTTTAGTAAATAAATTTACTATCGTTGTTTTAGTAATTTCTCTTACTAATTTTCTTTTTTAATCAAATTTCTTCAGTTTAAAAATAAAGTTTACTTGTACTGTATGATTTTTGATCGTACATTTAAAAGTTTATAGATGGATAATTATTTAATGGGAACGTATTATTGATGTTGATATTAAATTCTCTTATTAATAACAGTCTGTTTCAATTCAGCTATTAACTATGGCCTCCATCAATGATAACAGGTTATTGGTACGATTAATTTGTATCTGACACGTCAAATTAAATCTAATCAAGAACTGCTTTATTCATTTTCGATCTCTTACACAATAAATGGTAAACCGATTTCTCAATATTATCACAGTGTACAATAGTAGGTATATATATACCTATTCACTATGTTTAAACAATAGTTTTCTTCGTAAACAAGTGATAAAAATCTTTTTAATTAATTAATCGAAATTTAAATTATGTTTACATTTAATTATGAATGTGAAAGATAATATATACTAAATTATTTGTAAATTAAAAGAAAATTAAGTTTGTTTTAAATTTATATTCTCGATGCGACCTAAAAGAATTAAATAAAAAAAAGTTAATTATTATTCAATTTAATATTAACAATGTAATGTTAGTTATCATTGCAATAAATTTATATTACTTTATATTAATTTTAAACTTTAAAATGTCTCAGTAGGAAAAAGTTAAAAATAATTAATTATACATATATAATTTAAATTCATAATAAATAATATACTTGTAAAGGTAGTAAATTAATTAAAATACATAATTACTTATAATGCAATTCGTTTCTTATCATTAAGTTACGACTCCATTAATTACGTCAATTACTGGTTATTATTTATAGTTTTTTCATTGCTACTTGAACAGTTAACCCTATAATTACTTCTATTTTTATTTGACATTTATAATTTATCATTGCTATATATTATAATGATAGTATGATTATCATTGATATATACGTTGGACCTACAATAAGAATATTAAGTGTGATTTTATATTCTTTTATTTAAAATTGACAGGATCTGTATGTATATATTTAATAAAATTTTCATTTAATAAAACGTACTCTGTGTAAAATACACCTCTTGAAAATATGTTTTTTTTATTACTCTATATATTTATTACGATTACTCATATTGTCTATGGTGTCTATAGTAATTAAAAAAAAAAATCAATTGATCGCTTTTGTTGTAATGACTAATAAAAAATTCGTTCATTACTCTAGTCTTGGTATTTTAGATCATACTTGCAATTATTTACTTATTTATGAAATTGTTTGTTTATTTTTGTTATGCAATTATTATTAAATTCATATTATTATTCCTAATTATAATGTTTACATATTAAAATGACTTATTATTTATATTTACTATATACAAAGAGTACGTTCATCAAACATTATAATGAATGAGATATATTCTCATTATGTAGTGTAATGAACGTATATACGAGGTTTGTCCGGAAACGTATAAAAGTTTTTTAAAAATTTTATATTATGTAAATCAATTTTATCCCCTTCAAAGTACTCCCCCTGTGACATAAACTTGTGCCAACGCCGTTTCCACTGTGAGAAGTGAAAGTCCTCTGGTTGTAGGTTTCTAGTCGTAGCTTTTTTTATCTCATTTATGTCCCCCAAATGCCGCCCCCGAAGTACCAATTTGGTTTTTGGGAACAAGAAGAAGTCACACGGGGCCAAATCCGGCGAATAGGGGGGGTGTTCGGTCACCGTAATAGAATTTTTACTCAAAAACTCACGGACAACAAGAGAGGTGTGGGCAGGGGCATTGTCGTGGTGAAGAATCCAACGCCCCTCTCGCGCCAATTCTGGACGAACTCGTGCCACACGAGCTTTGAGGCGTCTGAGCACATCGACGTAGAATTTTCCATCAACTGTCTGGCCTGGAGGGACGAACTCTTGATGGACAATCCCCCGAACATCGAAAAAAACAATCAACATTGTCTTGACATTTGAGCGGGATTTTCTTGATTTTTTTGTTCGTGGTTCCCCGGATGTCTTCCACTCTTTGCTTTCACGGCCATTCTTGCCGAGTTTCGAGAGAAACTTGATTACGACGCGCTGCTCTTCAACGGAAGCGGGCTCCATGCCGACGGGGTTTTGTTAAGAGGTAACTTCACAGATTAGTTCGCACCGCACGGCGGTCAGACCAGAACTGAAGCATTGTTAGGGACATAAGGAAGGGGTCCTGCGCTTACCTGGCCTACTCCTCTTTCTCGCATTCCAGAACACTTTTATACGAACTTTCCGGACAGACCTCGTATGTCAATTCAACTATAAAACATTCTAGTAAGATAGTGACATGACTTTGAGCTAGTTTCGTAATGTTGGCGAAAGTTTGATACTGGTAGCGCCATCTGTTGCGCGCAGGTGGAACTTTATACTTTGACTAAAGTTGCTAGGTATATATTTTTTTCTACAGTAGATTAGAGGCGGTAAATTTGAAAATTTATGTTCAGAATGCAAGAAAATTGCCACAAGGAATTTTCTCCTAGTCTAGATGTATGAAGCGTGAATTATTAAAATAATACTCTTTTCTTATAGCGATAGATCAGTACCCAATTATAATACGAAAATCATATATTAACAAATTAAAAAAGGGTGTTAAAATATAAACTAAAAAATATTAATGAAATAATAATAATAAGCTATGAAGGCGTGTAATAAAAAAAAAATCCATCACTATCGCTATACACTAAGTGTCAATTTAATTTACACATATATCAAAGTATAGGCATGTATTTTTGAGGTGTCAATTGCAATTAATTAAACTATAAGATACAGCAACTTTCCATGACAAGTTACGACAAGCAATTCTACGTCAGACACAAAGTATTACGTCGCACCTAAACAATTTACACAGCTGCCGTTAAAAACAATAATAATTACAGCCCGCGGCAGTAGAAGTGTTAAATGTCGACTTTCCAATGAAAAAAGCGCACCTAATTTATTCGTTTAATGATGTTTCTACACTTCCCGCTTGATTAATGGTCGCATTAAAAAGTTTAAAGGGGACACATAAATCGTACGATATTAATTGAGATAATAATGTAGATTTTTATTAATACAATCGGGACCGCCTCGAGATATCGCCGTGAGTCTCTTTTACAAATGATCACTCGCGGGGTGATTAACACAGACAGATGCGCACCGGTGATTGATGCGGCGCAACGTCGTAATCCGTACGGCGAAATAACCAATTACGATTAGCATAAACATAAGGTGAAGTGAATTAACATATTATCAACGGATGAATTATGTATGCGCGGTCATATAGGCCCCGCTTAGAATTAGAGGGTTACGTTCGTCGCACCCCGACGCCTTTGTTGTCAAAATCTTTCAAGCTCCACTTATTATGTAAATGACACGGATTTAATACCTGTTTATTTATACTGTGGAATCTATTTACGTATGCTTGTCAGTTGGATCTTTTATCGACACATTAGGGCCGTTTAAATGTTTCCTGCCCATGTAATGTAACCCTCGTATGATGTGTAAAGGTTCTTTGTGAATCGGGACCGGAAATTTGACAATGCGTGACTGAATGATTGAGATCTGGCGATAAATCGACTCGCTATCGGAATGCTAAATCGAATGACAGCGTGATATTTGACGTGTGTGTGG